GGATGTGCAGCTGTTCTACCGCCGGGGCACCGACGGCGACGACGACGGCGATGTGGAGAAGGAAGAAGACGGCGTGCGCCGGCGATTCTCTTCTCTCCCTTCCTGCCGCACCGAGGGGGATGCGTGGTCGGCCTCCGCCCTGCGTGCCAAGGCGGTGGAGGCGTTAGAGCGGCCCAACACCCAGCTCGTCCGCCGCAGTCGCAGCGACGTCTTTACCTGCGCGTTTGCGGGCGCCAACGTCGTGCGCGTCCTCGCCCCGCAGCGCCTACACGCGGCCGTTGCGATGGACGTGGCTCTTGTCGTGGTGCTGCGCGATGGCACCCTGCGCTACGTTGAGCGCGTGATTGACGGTGGCTCGGTTCGGCTGCTGGCGGAGCATCATCGGCTGCGGTTTGCGAAGGGTGCCACCTTTATCGCCTACGCACAGGACTCCATGCTTGCCGGTCCGTCGTCACACTCCTCGGCGCAGCGCGGTGGCAGCAGTGCTGGTGGTGCTGATGGGGTTGGCGAGGAGGCGGACAGCCGTGCTCTCCCGCACGTCATCTACCGCTACCGGCTTTCTCCACATCAGGTAAACGTGTGTCAGCTGGGCAACTCCGCTGCGGCGGAGTGGGTCACCCTGGTCAACGATGCCGCCCTCTACTTCAGCGAAAAGGATGCGGTGTGTCACGTGGTGGTGGCCGGCACGCAGCTGGTCCCGACGAGCAAAGCCACCGGCCGTCCCTCCCCGCCCAACGCGCCAGGGTCTGGTGCGAAGGTGTCGCTCGACGTAGCTGCCCGGGCCGCCGCGGGGTGGACGCTGGGCCGTGTGCTGCAGGAGAAAGGAAGCGGGGGAAGTGGTGGGGGCCATCGTGCGCTGGGTTGGTGGGCGGTGGCGCACAACGTCGTACTGCCACGCTACACCTTTGACCGCGCCGCGCTGGAGCGGCACGCGTTCGAGCAGCAGCAGCAGTTGTCGTCGCACACACGCGCTACAGCTGGCCCTTCCTCTTCCTCCGCCGCCGCCTACAGCTCTCATGCCGGGTCGCCCTTCACGGTCCACGTGCAGAGCAACGTGACGGCCCTGCCAGCCGCATCTCTCAGCGCCACTTCTGCGCTGTCGATGAGCCCTGGGCGTCCGGTGACAGCAGCGGCAGCAGCAGCGGCGGCAGCGGCTGGCGGCTTGGATGGATCGGCCTTCTACGAGTCCCTCCCCACGTCGCCGGTGGTTTCCTCACCGACCGGGACCGGTGCGCACGTGGCGGCGGGCAACACGACAGCCGGCGTGGGCAACGGATTCGCGGCGGCTGCGATGGTAGCTGGGGTGTTAGTGCTGTCGACCGGCACCGACGTGTACGTCGGGGACCTCAACGAAGTGCCGGCGAAGGCGACGTCGCTGCCGGTGCCGCGCCCCGTCCGCTCGTTTGGGGCGGTCGTGGAGAACGTCTCATGTGGGCCCTATCGAGATGTGCGGTCGGTGTTGGTGGCAACCGGGTCGCGTGTGGTGCCCGTGTCGCTGTAATGGGAGGTCTATATATGTGTGTATGCGGGAAGAGGGGGCGGAGTATGGCGTAGTATCGTTGTTGTTGCTGCTGATTGTTGTTGACGGTCTTGTTGTCTTCTTCGCTTCTCTCGTAATTTCGTTGGCAGAGTCGCGAGGGGCGGAGGAGCCACGGTGGAGGCCGCAAGCTAAGGAAGGTGAACGAATAGCGCATAAGAGATGGAGTCGTTCTTCTTCTTCTTGTGCTGTGGTGGTGTTTTTGGTTGGGCCTTTTTTTTTTTCAGACGAACGTGTGCCTTTGATGGCAATGTGGTTTGCCCCTCTTCAGCACAGATGCAGCCGCGAATGCAAAGGTGGAGGTTGGGCAAAAGACCGGTTCTGCTGTCGCCTGTGCGGGTGCGTGCGTCGCACACCCATTCTTTGTTGTTATTATTCTTGTTCTCTGACGTTCTTTTGTTTTTTAGCAGACACCCGTTTTTAATCATGATTTGTAACGGAGAAACAAAAAAATGAAAGCAGCACAGTGCTACTAGCCTTTAGCTGTCCTTCTCGGTGTACTCGATGTGTCCTATGCGCGTTCATCTGCATTCAAATTGCGCCAGACAGCATGCGTGTTGCCGCGCACTCTCCGTGTCATACGCGTAAAGAGAATAAGTATCACATTCATCTATTGCTATTATTCTCATTATTACTCGGCTTTCTCCACTCTGCCCCAGTGTTTCCCTATGTAGGCTATTCAGTACTTGTTAACATATAAAAAGGAAGAAGCACATGGACGACCGGTGCCTCGAGCTGGCAGCGGACTTCGTCTCCGCTCGTTACATCGAGGCCGGCCGCGAGTCTCTCCACGCCACTGCCCGCACGCTTCGCATTCTTCTCGCCCAGCGCCGCTGCCCCGATGTCGGTCTTTCTGACGCCGCCATCGAACTCCTTCTCCGTCAGCTTGCCCTGATGGACACAAATAACTTTGCCGCCCACGTCGGCGGTGGCGAGCGCGAGGGACGGGTGATTTCATCCATGGTGCGGCAGCGTCACTTCGGCCTTGCGCACGGCATCGGCCGCTCCGGCGATCTCGTGGCGGAGCAACCAAAAGCAGCCGGATCATCGCTGTTGTACCAGCTGACGAATGTGCTAATGTTGGACCTCATTCGACTCTCCGGCGCCCCCGCGACGAAGGCGGCGGTGGTTGTCCCGATGGCGACGGGTATGACGCTATCGTTGGTGCTGCGCTGCGTGGCCAAGGCGCGCATCGACGAAGTCGCGCAGCAAACCTCGAGCGAACACCATCAAAGTGCGGAAACAAACACAAGCACCTCGTGTGCCGCCGCTGATGAGACTGCTGCTGCTGCCGACCCTCCGCGGGTGGTGCCGCAGTACGTGATTTGGCCGCGTATCGATCAAAAAACGGCGTTGAAGTGCATCGACGCAGCGGGACTGACGCCCGTTCCCGTGCAGCTGCGACCTGCACCACCATCGCCACGCCATCGTCGCACAGACGACGCCGCCCCATCCGAGACGAGCGTCGCCGCATGCGCTTCGTCGTGCTCCTCCACTCTCTTTTGGCAGTGTGCAGCGGAGGACATTGCTGCCGCCGTCGACGCCGTTGGTGGCCCTGCCCACGTCGTGTGTGTCCTCTCCACGACGAGCTGCTTCGCCCCGCGCCTGCCGGACAGCACCGTCGCCATCGCGCAGTACTGCAAGGCGCAGGGCATCCCCTACGTCGTGAACAACGCGTACGGCGTGCAGAGCCGCCGCATCATGACCCGCCTCGATGCCGCGCAACGACTGGGCCGGGTGGACTACTTTGTGCAGTCGGGGGATAAGAATTTCCTCGTGCCGGTCGGCGGTGCGGTGGTGTGCTCCGCCAGCGTGGAGCGGTGCCGTGCCGCGGCAGCCCTCTACGCCGGTCGCGCCAGTGCGAGTCCGATCATCGACCTTTGTATCACGGCGCTGAGTTTGGGTCGGCAGGGGATGCAGGCGCTTTGGACGGCGCGTTATCAGTGCCGCCGCCGTCTTGTGGCGCAGCTGCGGGTTTTTGCACGCAAAAGAGGGGAGTTGGTGCTTGTCGACGACGACGACGATGACGATGACGATGACGATGACGGTGAAGACGAAGACACCAGCGCTGACGTGGAGGCGGGGGTGCCGAGCGAGAAGAACAAAAACGGTGAAGTTCGTGCCACCGCAGCCCCAACAACGGCAGCAACGCCAAAGCCCGAGAGGCGGCCTGGGAGCGCGGCACGCAACGACATCAGCGTTGCCGTGACGATGCGCTTCTTTGGCCGGTCATCGGCCGCCAAAGCGGAGGGGTTGAAAGGTCATGCAGGTCAAGACAACGCCCCACCACCGCCCAACTGGGCAGCGGCGCGTGCCTTCGGGGCACAGCTGTTCCGCAGCGCCGTGACGGGGCCGCGTGTCGTTCTGCCTGCGCCGTCGACGGCGACGACGATCGCTGGCTGTGTCTTTCACAACTATGGCATGCACCAGGAAGGCGTGCCGGCCGCCCCGATGTTGGTGCTGGCGTGTGCCATCGGCATGACCATCGCCGAGGTGGATGCGCTGATGAGCCGCCTGCGTGAGCTGTGGCCGGTGTAGCCGCTTTACAAAAAAGAAGAGGCAGAAGGAAGAATGGAGACGGTGAGAACGGGAAGAAGGCTAAGTTGAAGGGCTGGAGAGGGTGCGCTTTGGGGGTGGAGGGGCTCTCTCGCTCTTTGAGGTGGAAAGAGACCTTTTACTTTTCCCTTTTCTCTTCTACTGTCGCACCAAATCAGCACTTTGCCGCCGCTTTCCAACAGCTGAATGCGGTACTATACAATACACACGTGTATATGTGTGTGTGTGTGTGATTTCAATAAGGGGCGGGGTGGGAAAGGACATTTGATGCTGCGCAGCGGACATCTGAAAGAGAAAGACCCGCTTTTGTTTCTCTCTATGTTTGTGTGGGTGAAAATGCCATCACGCTTACTTTCGCATTCCACACTTTCTCTCCCGTGGCCTCGACCACCTCGTCGACCGTTCTCTTTTCTGGCCCAATACCGGTACTTATATCCTCACTGCTGCTGCTGTTGATGCTGCGTCTCTGTGTGTGTGTCACCGAGGAGCACGTATATTATATATATTTTTCCCCTACAAAAATCTGTTCATGGTGTTATCCTCAGTGGTGGCGTTCTTGCCTTCGGCACATACACATACGCATACACAGGCTGTAAAGAATCGACGATGGTGAAGCAGCGCATGACGGCCCTGGATGTGCGGGCTACGGTGGAGGAGATGCGCGCCCACCTCATCGGGCTGCGTCTGCTGAACATCTACAACATCTCAAACAAAATGTTCCTCTTCAAATTCGGCCACGGCGAAAACAAGCGCAGCGTCCTCCTCGAGAACGGAATTCGCTTTCACCTGACCGAGCTCGCACGGGAGAAGCCGAAGGTGCCGTCGCAGTTTGTGCTGAAGCTGCGCAAGCACATCCGCGCATGGCGGCTCGACAGCATCACGCAACTCCAGCACGACCGCACTATCGACCTGTGCTTCGGCGTTGCCTCGACGGAAGGGTGCTTCCACATCATCGTCGAGCTCTTCTCCAAGGGGAACGTGATTCTGACGGACTACTCGTATAAGATGATGATGCTGCTCCGCACGCACCGCGATGATGGGGGCTTGAGTTTAATCGTGAACGAGACTTACCCCGTCACGACACCCTTCGCCGCAGCTCCGGCGGCGGCAGGGAGTGTCAGCGCAGCCGCGTCAACGGTGTCCGCCAGCGTCAGTGCGACGGCCACGGCCGATGAGGAGCCACACGTGATGCTCTGCACGCCGCACGTTGACGCAGCGGGTCATCTCCACGTCGATCGCATTGCCGCTGCGGACCTCACCCCCGCGCAGCGCCGGCTGAAGGAGGAGCGGGTGCGAGCTTTAAAGGTGGAATGGGATCTTGGGTTAAGCCGCGGTAACGAGCGCACGCTCTTGCAGGGCCTCGTGGCTGGCATTCAGCATTTCGGGCCCGATCTGGCGCAGCACGTGCTCACCATTTCGGGGGTGCCGAATGCGCAGCAAAGGAACTGGAAAGAGACGCCCGACGCGCTCTTTACCACGGTGCTGCCGGGCCTATTAGAGGCGTACGACCTGGCGAAGATGGACTTGACTGCGGCGGGGGGGTATCTGATTAAAAAGACGGTGAAAGGCAAAGCGAAGCACGACAGTGGTGCCACCGCGACAGAGGCAGCAGCGGCACCGACGGCCCCTCCTCCGTCCGCGCCCTCGACCGGAGAGCCAACGCAGGCGGCCGACGCGGGCGTGGCGGTGGTGGTGGCGGTGGCGGAGCAGTACGAGAGCTTCACGCCCATCCTGCTCGCCCAGTACAAGCTGGAGGGGGTGGAGTCCCTCTACCGCCGCAGCTTCGGCCGCGTGTGCGATGACTTCTTCCTCATCACGGAAACAGAGCGCATCGACGCCTCGAACGACAAGCGAAAGAACGCGGCGAAGGGAAAGGAGGAGAAGTTTGCCGCCGACCACGCACGCCGCATCCACGGTCTGGAAGGGGACATCGCAAAAAGCCAGCAAAAAGGCGAGCAGCTGATTTTGAATGCGGAGCGGGTGGACGAGGCGATCCAGCTCATCAACGGCGCCCTCGCCACCGGTATTTCGTGGGACGCGCTGCGCAGTCTGCTGAAGCGGCGTAACGCGGAGGGGCACCCCGTTGCCTACATGATTCATGAACTGTTCCTCGAGCGCAACGCCATCAGCGTGCTGCTGGAGGCCACCCTGGAAGACGAAGAGGACGACTGCGATGTGCCGCCGCTGGTGGTGGAGGTGTCCCTGTCGAAGACGGCCCACGCCAACGCGACGGACTACTTTGGGCGACAGAAGCAGAACAAATCGAAGTTGGAGCGCACGGTGGCGGCGACGGACAAGGCGGCTGCCGGGGCCGCGCGCAAAGGCGCCCGCAAGGCGGCAGAGCAGAAGGAGAAAAAGGTGATCGTGAAGGAGCGTCAGCGGAACTGGTGGGAAAAGTTCTTCTGGTTCCGCACCTCCGCCGGCGATCTCGTGCTGCGTGGCAAGGACGTGGAGTCGACCGAGCTGCTGCTTCGTCGCGTGAAGCAGCTCGGCGACTTCTTTGTGCAGTGCGAGGTGGACGGCTCGCTGCCCTGCTTGGTGCGGCCCATGGCGCGTCTCTGGCACGGCGGGGGTGGGGTGACGCCCTCTGCGTCCGCCGCCGCTGCTGCGGCCCAACCAATTGCAGCCGCCAGTCTGTGTGAGGCGGGCGCCTGGTGTGTGGCCTTGAGCGGAGCCTGGGAGAGTAAGCAGACCACCGGGGCGTGGTGGATCTACGCCTCGCAGGTGACGGGAGGCAGCGCCGCCGGCACGTACGTCTTCAGCGGGGAGCGGCACTTCCTGCAGCCGCAGCCGATGTCGCTGGGGTGTGCCCTTCTCTTTTACGTGGCCCGCACGATGGACCAGCCAGCGGCGGCGATCACCGCCGACTCCGCGGAGGAAGGGAGAAAAGATCAAGAAGAAGGGGGAGAGGACGCAGCGCAGGAGAGCGTGGACGAAGCGCACGGCACTCCCCTCTCAGCAGAGGAAGTAGTACAGCGTGAGTTGCCGCGGCTGCCCACCAAGGCGCAGTTCAAAGCAGCCGCGGTAGACGCCACCGACGTCGACACGTCCGCCAACGACGTCATACCTGCAGACACGGCCACCGCGTTAGCCGACATGCCGACCATCGAGGCGCTGCGCGCGGATCAGCGGAAGCAGCAGCAAACCTACGGCGGGCACGCCAACCGCTTCGACGGTAGCGGAGGTAACGCTGCGGCGAAGGGCAAGAAGGGCGGTTACGCACGCAACGCCCGCGTGGATCGCGATGGACTTCACGGGAGTGCAGCGGGGAGTGTCTCGGTGATGCACGCTGACGAAGCCGACGCGCGCGCGTTGTCGGTGGGGGCCGCTGCCGCCTCCTCCACTGCGACGACCATCAACCCACAACGGCCATCACCACCGCCGCCGCAGCAGCAGCAGCAGGACAAGACGCTGTCGAAGCACCAAAAGAAGAAGCTGAAGAAGATCCACGACAAGTACGGTGATCAAGACGAGGAGGACCGCGTTTTGGGGGCGCAGGTGAACGGCAATCAACTCTCACGCGTGCAGCTGCTGGAGCTGGAGCGGCTGGCGGCGCAGCGGCAGCAGGAGGAGGCGGAGAAGCGCCGGCTGGCGAAGGCAGGCCGCCAGGCGGCGCGCGACGCCGGCACCTTGCGCTACCGCACCGTGACGGAGTGTGAAGATGCGGAGGCGGCACCTCACGAGGGAAGGGAGGAGGACGTGGAGGTCGTGTCGGACTTTACGGACGACGACGAGGAGGAGCGCCGTGCGGGAGTAAGCGATCCGGTCGGTAGCAACAGTGCGCAGGTCAAGTCCCCGTCACCGCCGTCGTCGTCGTCGACTGCGGATGACTTGGCGGAACACTCTGAAAAGGAGGAGGATCCAAGCACCGCCGCAGCGAGCCCGTCCGATCTCAATCGACAAGAAGAAGAACCAGGAACCGGCAGGGGCGGAGATGAAGAGGGCTGCGCTTCTCAGGCGCGGAGGGAGGCGTCGCCCACTACCAGCACCGCTGCCGCCACACGCAGTGACCGCGACGCTGTTGTGGCGCAGCAGACCGCAGAGCTGAACCGCGCGTTCCTGCACTATACCATGAAGCCCGCGCCGACGGACGTCGTCCGTCACGTCGTCGCCGTGTGTGCGCCAATGATGGTCGTCAATGACTACGCCTATCACGTCCCGCTGGCCATGGGGAACGCGAAGAAGGGCGTGTTGGCCGGAAAGCTGCTGCAGGTCTTCACGGAGCGGGCGGAGCGTGGGGAGGCGTCGGCGACGACCACCACCACCACCACCGCAGGAGCAGGGCTCAGCGGAGGTGGGAGCACGCGTAAGAATCAGAGGAAGGCGGCGAAGGCGCACGTCGACCCGTCCAAGCCGGCGGCGGCGGCCCTGTCGGAGGGCGCGATCGCTGCCATGGTGAACCCATCCGTTGTGAAGGCACTGAAGATGACGAGCCCCAACGCCATCGTGGAGCAGCTCCGCGCGAACGTCAAGCCGATTGACTTCAAGCTTTAAGCATGTTAGGTGATGGCACACTTCAGGGCAGCCGCTGCACGCGCTGCCTCCCTTCAAGTTGGCGCGATGTACCTTCTGTTTTCCTGGTTTCTGGTGTTGTTGTGATTCTGAAGCTTGCGGTTGGGGCCGGCACTTTTCTGTTGTGGCTGATTTGAGTAGAAGACGGGAGAGAGAGAGAGGAAGGAATGTGAATCACCGCGGCAGAGGCGGTGGTCCGTTGAGTGGTGGCGTTGCGTTGGGTGGGGGCGAAGAAAGAACAGGATGAATAAAGATACATATACATGCATACATAACAAGGAGTGTGCCGCTCCTGCGTGGTGTGGGCGCGGTTTCTCTCGAAAGCGTTGGCGATTATTACTATTGTTTTATATGTGATGCACTGTGCGATCAATGCGAAATAAAATCTCTCTTTTCTGTTAAAGCTCGACCTTCACCTACGCGTTTGCATTACTCCCGCCGTTGTTCGTGCGTTGTACCTGCTTGAACACTCTGCGGCGTAGGGAGGAAAGGAACACCGGAAAAAGAGGGGATACGTGGCAACGTGGAAATAATGGAGAAGAAAAGTGGCGACGATAGAACAACGTCGGCTGGTGTATCTTTATTGTTGCTATTACCGTTGTTGTTGTTGTTGTTTTTGGCAGCTAACACCGTGCGTTTCTGCCGTCTTTCCTTATCGCTGTCACGGTGCGGTGCGACGACGAACACCCGTTGCAGCGTGCGACGACGGTGGAGGCGGCATTGCCATCATGTGCATCTCTTCTCCCCTGCCTAAAAGTAGAACAAATCTTACAGTTTCGCTTATCCTTCTTTCTTTCTTCCTTTCTCAGTTTACCATCGAATTGAACAGCACGCAGAGCGAAATTCTCTTCCCCTAACCCTACGCACTTCCACACCTACGCCCACACTCCTCTACACACACCGGAAAGGAATCATGGCGGATCAACTGTCCAACGAGCAGATCTCCGAGTTCAAGGAGGCCTTCTCCCTCTTCGACAAGGACGGCGATGGCACCATCACCACCAAGGAGCTCGGCACCGTCATGCGCTCCCTCGGCCAGAACCCGACCGAGGCGGAGCTGCAGGACATGATCAACGAGGTGGATCAGGACGGTAGCGGCACGATCGACTTCCCCGAGTTCCTGACGCTGATGGCGCGCAAGATGCAGGACTCCGACTCGGAGGAGGAGATCAAGGAGGCGTTCCGCGTGTTCGACAAGGACGGCAACGGCTTCATCTCCGCCGCGGAGCTGCGCCACGTCATGACCAACCTCGGCGAGAAGCTGACGGACGAGGAGGTGGACGAGATGATCCGCGAGGCCGACGTGGACGGCGACGGGCAGATCAACTACGAGGAGTTCGTGAAGATGATGATGAGCAAGTAGGACGAGCTCCCGTGACGCGCCAGTTGGATCGCTTTGGGGGGTCCTCGAACGCAGCAGAGCTCAAAAAGAAAAGAAAAAGGTGCGGGGGCTAAGGAAGAAAAAATTGATCTGTGTTATCCGCCTCCCGTGAGAACTTCGCGTGAGAGGGAGAGGAAGAGTGAGAAGGCGAAGGGACCGGGCAGAAGCTTTCCCGTGAGACAAGACAAGGACAGAGAAGGAGAAGAACGGCACTTTCGCCTTGCAACCTCTCTGCCTATCCGCAATTGTTCCAGCACCCGTCTCTTGCGTACTCAACGGCGGCTGCTCTGCGAAGGCCAGGATTCTATTTTTTTCTTTTTTCCTCTGGTCGTTCTGTTTATCTGTTTGAGTAGCCGCATCTTCTTTCTCTTTTTCTTTCAGAGTTTTCTCGTTCTTCTTCTGTTTTGCTCCCCCCCCCCTCAATAGACGAACTCCAGGAGGAGAGGCGGCCCTCCCCTCCCTCTCCCCTCCACACGCTTCCACTCCCGATGTATTTGCCTTCTTTTCCTAATCTGTACTGATGTTTCTTCCCACGATATTTTTGTTTTCCTCAATGTTTACCCAAAAAGAAAAGGATAAAAGTAGCGTCACAGCCGTTGTCGGTAAAGGTCTGCGCCTTTCTTCTTCCTCTTCTTCCGCTCTTCTTCTCCTCCGTCACCACCACCACAACTGTTCCGCGGGGGGCCGGTCACCGCCTCCGTACGTGCCGCATCAAGGCAGACTCAACGTGCTACGTCAGGTGCGTAGAAGCAGAGGAGGCGCAAGAAGAAGAACGAAGATAGTTTCTCGTGTGTGGTGCCGCAACGCGCTATCGAAAAAAAGGAGTGCTGTAAAATAGGAAAGAAACAACCCAATAAACATCTTTAAAAGTGAAATGCATGAATGAGGTTCATCGGAGGGTGACGCGTACTCACGTGAGCAGCGACAGTCACAACGAGCGCATTAGGAAGAAGAAGAAAAAGCGATCACGTTGCTGTGCCGTCGAGTAGGAATAAGAGAGGTGTCTCGTTTTCTTCTCCCTCTCCCTCTCCTTCCCCCTTTCTTCGAATGCCTCCGTGCGTCAGCATCGGGGAATCCGTGACGACGCAAAGCGAGCAGCGCACATGTGTTCTCCTCACGCATCTCTCGTCTCACGCGCGCCTAAACAAAACAAGAATATCAAAACAACGAACATCCTCTGTTTCTCCTCCGCCCCTTTTGCTCAACCTCTCTTGTCTTATCTGCTGATCCTCTACAAACAAATCTTTACCGTCTCGGGAAAACACACATACGCCTTCATCATCATTTTTCTTTTTTCTTTCATCAGCTTTCTCACGCGATACGATTTCCACTCGCTCACGCATCTCTCGTCTTCTTCTGTTGATCTCCCCTTTTCACAACAGTCTTCTCTTTAATCATGGCGGATCAACTGTCCAACGAGCAGATCTCCGAGTTCAAGGAGGCCTTCTCCCTCTTCGACAAGGACGGCGATGGCACCATCACCACCAAGGAGCTCGGCACCGTCATGCGCTCCCTCGGCCAGAACCCGACCGAGGCGGAGCTGCAGGACATGATCAACGAGGTGGATCAGGACGGTAGCGGCACGATCGACTTCCCCGAGTTCCTGACGCTGATGGCGCGCAAGATGCAGGACTCCGACTCGGAGGAGGAGATCAAGGAGGCGTTCCGCGTGTTCGACAAGGACGGCAACGGCTTCATCTCCGCCGCGGAGCTGCGCCACGTCATGACCAACCTCGGCGAGAAGCTGACGGACGAGGAGGTGGACGAGATGATCCGCGAGGCCGACGTGGACGGCGACGGGCAGATCAACTACGAGGAGTTCGTGAAGATGATGATGAGCAAGTAGGACGAGCCCAAAGGCACCTTGCCAAGTAAGCGCGCACGAGGAGAGAGGCGTTGAAGGAGTGTGACGAAGTGGAATGGGTTTCAAACTGCAGACGTACTTCATTAAAGCCGCTGTGTCGCTTTCTACAGGTGTGTGCCTCGAAAGGATTGCATTGACGGCCATCGCGGTCGAGAGAAGCAAATAGAGGAAAACGGGAGGACGGTGGAGCTTTGCATTCCACGCACATCAACACTCCTCCTCTGAAGTACTATTTTAATTATTATTAATATTTGCAAGTTTGATTCTACCGATGCTTTTTCTTTCAAGACTGTGGTGAAGATGGATGGATGGCGTTGCGTCCCTCTCTTTCTCTCTCGCTCGCTCGTCCTCTAGCACAGTTGAAGTCACTTCAAGTACGAAGCGTTATGCTCAACACCGCACAGCCATTTCCCCCCCCCCCCCGGTGCCTTTGTACGTGTGTTTAGTATATACGCGCCGCGTTGATTCGTCTTCGTCGTTGTCGCCATCTTTGTATTCTCCTTCGTTTCTCTCTTTTTTCTTTATATTATTTTTCGCTTCTGTGCTTCGCAGCGGTGTTCGAGATGTATCCTTCTGTTTTATACCACCATTCCCTTTCCTGTAATTTTCTCCTCGCTCCTCTTACTGTGTGTGTGGGGTGGGGGGGGGGG